GGATGGCCTAGAACTTGATATTTAGACCAGGGTGGCCTTGAACTCACAGAGATCCTCTTATCTCTGCTTCTCAAGTGCTGGGATTAAACATGAGAAGCAACAGGAGGGGGCAAGAGTGGTGCTCATCTGAATTCCTGAATCCCTGCTTCCCTCTCCTCAGCAGCCACCCCCAATCCTCCCTCCAATGGCCTTCCATGTTCCCTCTTCTAGCTTTTAAGGTTACCTAGAGACGCAAACAGAGGAAATGAGGAAGGATGGGGGATAGGCAAAAGGACACATGGGACACGAAAAGTAGAAAAAGAGATTAGAGGCAATTTACCAGGGGTGTTTAGGGGTATCAGGAGAGTGGATGGCACCATGAGGATAAAATATCTGCCAAACACACTGTTCAGGAATGTTCTAATGACATCGTCTTGTTTTGCTAATTTTAAAACTATTTTTTTGTTTTGGTTTTTTGAGACAGGGTTTCCCTGTGGCTTTGGAGGCTGTCCTGGAACTAGCTCTTGTAGACCAGGCTGGTCTCGAACTCACAGAGATCCAACTGCCTCTGCCTCCCGAGTGCTGGGACTAAAGGCGTGCAACACGGCCAGCTAATTTTAAAACTATTATAAAATGTTTTAGAGGGGGCTGGAGAGATGGCTCAGTGGTTAAGAGCACTGCCTGCTCTTCCAAAGGTCCTGAGTTCAATTCCCAGCAACCACACAGTGGCTCACAACCATCTGTAATGAGAGTTGGTGCCAAACACTGTACACATAATAAATAAATCTTTTCAGAATGTTTTTGAGTCTGGGGGAGAAGGAATGGGGGTAAGGGGAGGGAGAGGGAGAGGGAGAGGGGAATTACATGTGAAACAAGCCTGTTCCCTAACTTGAATTAATAATAATAGAGAGAAAAAAATGTTTTTGAGTCATTTTCCCCATTGTTTGTGGTTGACCTTGAACTCCTGATCCACTTACCCCCACCTCCCTAGGATGATAGGTATGCACCACCACACCTGGTTAAATGCAGTGCTGGGGGTCAGGATGGAGACAAGGGCCTCCTGCATGCCAGGCAAACACTCAACCAACTGAGCTACATCCCCAGTCGCAAGGCCTCTTCTTACAGTCTTGTTCACAATGGACATGCTATTCATGAAGTTACCCAAGGACGGTGTCTTCTGCTTTGACTAAACTCAACTGCCACAAAGACAGGGACCAAGTTTGTTGTATTAATCATGGAATCCCCAGATTCTGGCACATGGAAGTAGTCAATACAAATTCATTGGAGAAATGGAGAGTTGACTCAGCAGTTCAGGGCCTGTACTGATTTTGCAGAAGACCTTAGTTCAGTTCCCAGCACCCACACTGGATAGCTCACAATCCTGTATAATTTCAGCTCCAGGGTATCTAACACCCTCTTCCAGCCTCTGAGGGCACTGCACTTCTGTGCACATACCTAGATGAAGATATATACCCACATAATTTAAAAATTAAAACAAAATGGAAAAAGTAGTTACTGATTGCCAATGGACTCGTAAGATGTCACACAAAAGCACATTGGAAACGAAAGGAAAAATACACTGAAAGTCATCAAAATTTAAAGCTTCTATTTAAAAATTATTACATTTATTTATTTAGATCTGGGTGTGGTGGCTCACACCACTTGTGAGGTAGGGGTAGGTAGATATCTGAGTTCAAATCTAGTCTGATCTACAGAGCACATTCCAAGACAGCCAGGGCTACACAGAAAAACCTTATCTCAAAAAATTAGGTGTGTGTGTGTGTGTGTGTGTGTGTGTGTGTGTGTGTGTGTGTGTGTGTGTAATATATACTATCTTTATTTGTTTAGTGTTGGTGCATGTATGTATGCCTTGCTATGCACGTCTTAGAAGTCAGAAGACACTTAGAGGTTCGTTTTCTCCTTCCATTGAATCCTGGGGAATTGAACTCTGGTCATCAAATTTGGCATTACCTTTACCCACTGAGCCATCTTACCAGCTCCCAAACTTAAACCTTTTGAGAACAACAGAAAACTATCAAGAAAATGAAAAGAGATCAGGCATGGTAACAACATTCCTGTATTGGCAGCTGAGGCAGGAGGATCAATATGAGTTTGACGCCAGCCTGTCTCAAAGAAAAAAAAAGTGAGTGCTGGAAAGATAGCTGAGTCAATAAACTGCTTGCTCCACAAGCAAAGAGGACCCGAGTTTGGATGCCCAGCATCCATGTAAATAGTCAGCATTAGTACTGCAGTCTGTATGAAGTCAGTTTCTGAGGAAACAGAGACAGGTGAATCTCTGCAGCCTGCTGGCCTGCCAATCAAGCTTAATCAGTGACCTCTGGGTTCACTGAAAAACCTCATCTCAAAATAGATAGATAGATGATAGATAGATAGATAGATAGATAGATAGATAGATAATATGGAGAGCAAGTGAGAAAGACACGTGACATCCATAAACTTGTGCACACAGACACACACACACACACACACACACACACAGACACACACACACAGATTCTCATGGGGAAAAACCCACAGAGTGGGAGAAAGTATTTGTAAACATGTATCCAATAAGCTATATAACTGGTCCAAGCCTAGGGGTGACAGCCTGTTGTCCCAACACCCAGGGGACTAAGACAAGGGGGAGAGACTCAAATTCCAGCCTAGCTTGGGCTACATGGTTAGAGACCCTATCTCAAATGAAAAGGTGTTATAGATCTGATATTGATCACATATGAACTCCTATAAGTGAACAACAAAAATACAAACAGCCTGATGTTGAGATGAACAAAGGACTTTACTACACATGTCTTTGTGATTTTGTTGTTATTGTTGTTGTTTGCTTTGAGACAGGTTTTCTCTCTGTAGCCCTGGCTGTCCTGGAACTCACTTCTGTAGGCAAAGCTGGACTTGAACTCACAGAGATCCACCTACCTCTGCCACCTGGGTGCTGGAATTAAAGGCTTCCACTACCACCCACCCTTTACTACACATTTCTACAGCGAAGAGAAGTGTATGACTGAGAAGCATAAAAAAAAAGGTGCTCATTGTCACTAGGCAATAGGGAAATGGAAATCAAAACTACAATGAAAGGGCTGGGAATATAGCCCAGTTTTAGAGTGCTTGTCTAGCATGTATAAAGCCCTGGGTTCCATGCCAGCACTACACAAACTGGGTATTGTAATGCTTGCCTGTACTCCCAGTACTCAAGGGCAGAGACTACAGACTTAGTAAATGTTCAGTTCTAGAAAGATGGCTCAATGGTTAAGACCACTTATAGCTTTTGCCAAAGACTCAAGTTCAGTTCTCAGCTCCCATATTGAATAGTCTACAAACACCTGGAACTCCAGCGCCAGGCGATTGGCATCTGTGGGCACCTGCACTCATGTTTTTATATACTCACACACACACACACACACACACACACACACACACACACACACACACACACACATCGCACAATTTAAAATAAGATCAGTCTTTTAAAAAAATAAAAACAGAGACACCAGAGAGATATCTCAATGGTTAAGAGCACCTTCTTCTCTTCCAGAGAACTGAAGTTCAGTTCCCTCAACTCATGTCAGATGTTCACAACACAGTGTAGAGCTGTAATCTCAGCTCTAAGCGATCCTATGCTTCTGACCTTCAGGACATCTGCACTGGCCTGCACATTCTCACAGAGACACACAGTTATACGCCTAATTAAGAATACAATAGATTGGGAAAGAGAGATGGCTCCACAGTTAAGAGTACTGATTACTCTTCCAGAGGAACCAGGTTCAATTCCCAGCACCCATGTGACTGCTAATAACCATATGCAACTCCAGTTCCAGAGGACTCAATGCGTACTTTGGACTCTGTAGGCACAGCGTGCATGTGGTGCACAGACATAGATGCTGGCAACCCACCTATATTCAAAAAATAAGGTAAAATAAAATAAAAATTAAATTAAATAAATAAGGGCTGGAGAGATGGCTCAGAGGTTAGGAGCCCTGACTGCTCTTCCAGAGGTCCTGAGTTCAATTCCCAGCAACCACATGGTGGCTCACAACCATCCGTTATGAGATCTGGTGCCCTCTTCTGGTGTGCAGATATACATGGAAACAGAATGTTGTATACATAATAAATAAATAAATAAATAAATAAATAAATAAATTCTTTTAAAAATTAAATAAATAAAAAGAGAACAACAGCATGGGGGGACCAAAACTTAAAAACAGAACAACAGAATTTTAAAGCAAAGAACAAACAAGCACAGAGTAAATTTATTAAGAAAAGCCCCACCCCCCTGGGCGTTGGTGGCACACACCTTTAATCCCAGCACTCAGGAGGCAGAGGCAGGCGGATCTCTGTGAGTTCGAGGCCAGCCTGGTCTCCAGAGCGAGTGCCAGGATAGGCTCCAAAGCTACACAGAGAAACCTTGTCTCGAAAAAACAGGAAAAGAAAAAGAAAAAGAAAAAGTAGCAACCCAAATCAGTCCTTGTACTCCCAGCATTGGGCACAGAACTGTACATGTTCATCATGGGTACGTCTTGATCAATCCATTGCATATTTGATATTTTGCTCAAAGACAGAAAGAGACTTCTTTGAGGGAGGTTCCCTCCCCCAGAACTCAGAATCCACTTCTCTCGCCACTCTCCCAGCCTAGCTGGTTACAGGCAGAGGGATAGGGCTTTCAGAGAGGAAAGGAGGAGGAAGCCCACACTCAGACAGAAGAACGTCAGATCTAGAGGAATGATGGCCCTTGACATAAAGGTAAGGAGTCTTCCAGGCCTCAGAAGGACTGAAGAGTCCCTGTTGCTAAGCTCAGTATGCTAAAGATGTTCAAAGTGGGGCCTGGGGCACCACAAATAGATTGGTGTGTTCAGTATCACCTGCCAAAAAGACAAAGCAATTTGTCATGCATCCTAAGTAACTAGTAGCCTGTGGCTGGAGATGTGTGTGGCTCAGTAGCAGTGGTCTTGGCTAGCACTCATGAGGCTCTGGGTTCAACCACCACACACAAAAAGAGGATTTTTTTCAAAAGTCTGGAGTGACTCACAAATTTTCCTGTCATCCTTGCTCAAGGGCCAGGCTAATGTTCTCTGCGTTGTTCTAATTTTAGTATATGTGCAGCAGAATAAGTGAATGCACAAAAATAATTTAAAAGTAAAAACTTTGGTTCATGACAGGACCCTCACAGTAATCCAGAAACCATTCATTTAATGGGCTGTGGTCAATGAGGAGTCCTGGGTTTCGAATCTTAAAGATAAGAAGGTCCTTTTGGTATGTGAATTTGCATGGGCTCTAGGGCCCAGATGGCCAACAAACAGCAACTTAAATGGTATTGTGGGTTGTTCCATGATGATGTCACTCTATGTAAGGAAGAGTTTCTTAAGTGACCTGAGGGACTGATGTAATCAATGGGGTTGCTTTAAGAGCAGGGTGGAAGTGTCTCTGACGAAAGTGTATTCCATGCCTGCAAGGCTCATTCTGCCTTTCTTGAAGGCCAGTCCTACACTTCCCATAATGCTTTGGTAGGGCCAGGTACTGCTGAAGCCAGTACTTAGTAGTAAATCTCTAGCCATTTATCACCTATGAGTTCTGCTTCTCTGACTGAATTCTGACGTATTAAATACAAGAAAGAGGGCGTCAGTGGTGCACACCTTTAATTCCAGCACTTGGGAGGTAGAGGCAGGTGGATTTCTGTGAGTTCCAGGCCAACCTGGTCTCCAGAGCAAGTGCCAGGATAGGCTCCAAAGCTACACAGAGAAACCCAAAATAAATAAATAAATAACAAAAGAAGGGCTGGAGAGCTTGCTGGTTCCACTTACTGCTCTTGCAGAGAGAGGACCTGAGTTCAATTCCTAGCACCTACATGGCCACTCACAACCATCTATTAACTCCAGCCCAAGAGATCCAATGTCCTCTTCTGGCCTCTGAGAGCACAGGGCATGCACACAGTGTACAAATATACATGCAGGCAAAAATTCGTACATATAAAATAAAAATAAAGTAAGTATTTAAAAAGAAAAATGTGAACTGTGCCGGGACCTGTAATCCTAGCCAGAGGCTGAGGCAGGAGGCTAGTAAAATCCAATCCAGATGGGCCATGCATCAGGACCATGTGTGAAATGCACATGTAACTATAATATACTCCAACACTGAAGGTCAGTGATCAGATTTACATTTGTTTAGGTCACAAGGCTGTAGTCTTGATTTCCAATAACACACACACACACACACACACACACACACACACACACACACACACACTCACCTCTTTGAAA